CACGGGGCGCGCGTCCCATGCGAGGCGCAATGCGAGATTGATGTCGAATTTGCTGACTACGAACTTCGAGTGTTATGGAATTATTTCATTTTAGACCAATGCCTGTGCGGCAGCACGTGCCTCATAATAAAAATCAGCCAATGCCTGTGCTCCTAGAATGAATTATAGCCAATGCCTATGTTCTCTATTCGACCCACAATCTACGAGATGCACAAAGAGCAGATGGCCCACAGAGGGTTGGGCGGGTTTTGATTGGCCTGTGTCGACAGGGACTCGGTATCCTGGCCGCGGATCAAGATCGAGCAATGATTTTGACCTCGTCTTGCGCCACGTATAACGGAATCTCGGCCATCGGCGAAACAACCGACTCCAACAAGTTTCTTAGGCGACCCCCTCTGTGTTTCTCACTGAATTACAGAAAATTTTAGAGCCAATATCTCAACCGCTATACTAACCATGTAAAAGACGTCGAGAAGTGCCGCACTGCTTGCTTTTTCCATGATCCACGCTCTCCACCGAGGAGCACAGTGGCAGGAGCTGGCAGCAGGTGAGCGGGCGCCCGCTGTATGCGGATGCCGGTCGTCGGTTATCCGGATGGACCACAACGGCCTCGGATTGGCCAAGATGTATGGCTCCAACACACGCAGGCGGCCGTACCGTACATTAATGCACGTACGTGTAAAAGAATGTACGGGATGTACCTTGCGAGGTATCAATTGTGGGAGGACCGCGCTTGGCCAGTGCAATTTCCAGACCATGCTCGCCCGAGTCCTCCGTTCGTCCACCGCTGTCGCTGGCCGCGCCGCCGGCCGTCGCGCCATCTCGACCTCCATGCCCCGCTTCGTCGAAGCGAGCGAAGAAGCCAAGGAGGTCACGGGCCTCACGCCCCGCGTCCAGGTCGCCTCGACACGATCGCGGACCTTTCCAAGATTGAAATCGCCGAGCTCGCCACGGCCATCCAGGTAATCCGGTCGCCGATGCGTCGCGGGCATGGAGGCTAAACCCTCACCGTAGGCCAAGTTTGACATTCCCGAGATGGGCTTTGCGGCTGGCGGCGGCGGCGGCGGCGCGGCGGCTGTCGAGGAAGTCAAGGAGGAGAAGACGTCGTTTGACGTCAAGCTCGTGAGCTTTGATGCCAAGAACAAGATCAAGGTCATCAAGGAAGTCCGTGCCATCACGGGCCTCGGCTTGAAGGAGGCGAAGGAGCTCGTCGAGGGCGTTCCCGCTGTCCTCAAGAAGGACCTCAAGAAGGCCGAAGCCGACGAGCTTTTGGCCAAGATCGCTGAAATGGGCGGCGTTGGCGAGCTCGAGTAAACACACGCATGCAGACCAAGTAGCTATAGAGATCGCCTCGGGATTAGGTATAACTAGACGAACACGACGTCCACTTAGTACATCGCACGGCTGCACAACCACTCGTCTGCGAGATGGCTCTTCTGGCAGCGGCCGGTCGGCCGTGCACAACGCCCCTCAACGCCGCCAGCTCGACCAGAGGTCACAAGCGCCGCAGGTCGCTGCTTGTCGCAAAGCTGGCAATCATGGTCCCTGGGCGCTGTCGACGAGTAGCATTCTCCATGGCCGATCTCGCGCCTGCGCGATGCGGCACAGCATGGTCCTTGGTTTCAAGTATCGTTGGCCTTGCCCATCGCATCGATCGGCGGGCTCGGTGGCCATGCGCTTTGACGGCCGCAAGCACCGAGGTGGCTTCTCTCTCACGGCCGTCATTTGTCCCACTCGAACTTAGCCGAAAGTCAGTTCGCCGCCGTCTAGCATGGCCGCAAGCATGGCCGCAGCGCCTTGTCCGTACAGCGGCCTTCCGAACGCGTCTCGGATCCTCGTTGCCGATGCGTACTGCGGTGCCGGGCAGGCCATGTGTCTCGTGAGCCCGGCGTGCGCGCTCGTCACCAGCTCGGGCCTCGACGACCGCCAGCGCACGGCCGCTGGCATCGACGCGGTCGGCAACATGACGCTGTACCCGTTCGATGCGCTGTACGTTCCTGCCTCGCCATGCACCAGGCAGCTGCATGCAGCGTAGGTACATTCTCAACACCTCGTCGCCGCTCAACACGACGTACATGCGCCTGCCCGACGCGCTGACCACGCTGTATGTTCTCGTCGTCGTGTCGTTGGCGACCTGCAGCGCATGCGTAGATGGCTAAGCAGCGCAGGCCTCCAGACGATCCCAGCGCCGCTGCCGTCCGAGCTGCTCACGCTGCAAGTGCCCTCGCTCTACATTCGCGGGCTGATGCGGCAAACGTAGCGGGCTACCAGACAACGAGCTCACGCAGCTCGAGAACCTCCCGACGGGCTTGATGGCACTGTACGACGACGACCATTGTTGCACCCAGATGCAGCATGTGGGGTGTCTAGGGACGTCTCGTACAACGACATTGAAACAATCCAGAACCAAGATTGGACGTCGATCAAGTACATGTATGACAAGCTCGATGCGTTGCGCTGGCAAAAAGTCCATCCTTGTATGTAGCGATCTCAGCGGCAACCGGCTCGTCTCGTTTAACTACGTCAACCTCACCAAGCCGCTCATCTACTTGTACTCACTCGATTCATGCGTGGTCGAAATTTGATGATTGGGACGTAGTGGTGTCGACGGCTGCAGTTTAAACTCGTTCGTGGCAACCGCTGCGACGTTTGACGCATTAAACGCACTTTCCATCGCTGCCAGCGCGACGGCCGCCAAAGGACTGTTTGCCACGACCCTCCCGCGTGTTGATGCTGGCAGCCAGTGGGCCTGCGACTCCATCGGTGGGCGCATGCGCAACCTCACGGCGAAAGTCTCGATCCCCGTCTGCATCACAGGTACTCACTCATCTTCGTGATGAAATGGGATCTCACACTAGCTCTACAAGTAGATTTACCCAGCAACCCCGCTGACGCCGACAGTATCCGTCATGGTCATCATGGTATGAAATCTCAGTGGACCATAGGTCATGCACTGCGTCTCGGTCTTTGGCTTGGGGCCGTCACACTCGTCTTCCTTGCAGCTCTCTTCTGGTGGTGTCGCAAGCGGCGACGCCAGCGGCAGAGTCCAGACATCGAGACGAACCCCAAGCCGACGCAGGTGTTTTACATTCTCAACAAAACGGTGGTCCGCCGATCGTCGTCGTCGTCGTCGTCGGTGTCGGTGTCGTTGATGGACGAGCGAGGTGTCGACTTGGATGTTGCCATTTTGACGCCCTACAAGATCGACTCAAGTACCTATGCGGTCTTCGGGGACGTGCCGATGGCTACCGGCAGCGACGTGGATGTCTGGCGTGGCCACTACCAAGGTGAGTCCGTCGTCATCAAGCGTCTTCGCGATCGCAGTCCCGAAACGGTCTACCGCTTTCTTCACGAACTACAGCTACTGACGCAGTACGTACTCTCTCCCCTTGCAATGGATCCACATGTCGATCGTGGCACTAGGGTCCAAGACAGCTACTACGTCGTGCGCCTCTATGGCGTGAGCTGGCGCCGACCCATCGACATGGAGTGCGTCATCGAGTACATGGACCAAGGCAATCTGCAGCTCGTCTTGCGATCGCGGCCGCGTCTCTCCTGGAGCCTCAAGACCCAATGCCTTGTGCATGTCGCAAGGGGCTTGCTCTGTCTCCATGAGAAAGACATTATTCACCGGGATTTGCAAGCGCGGCATGTCCTGCTCGACGCGACCCGCGGCGCCAAACTCTCAAATTTCGGCTGCTCGCACCAAGTCGACGCATCAGCCCTCACCAACGGCATTGGCACGTACCAGTGGATGGCCCCCGAGGTCATTATGAGCACCGACTACAGCGTCTCGGCCGACATTTACTCGTTTGGTACGTGCGCTGAATTTAGGGCTAGGGTACTGAGACATGTCTCGTGCAGGTGTGTTTTTAACCGAGCTATCGACACATGCGGTGCCGTACGCAAGCCTCATGGACCCAAGTACGCTCCGCCCGTACTCGCAGCAGTACATTATGACACAAGTGACGCTTGGCGCGCTCCGACCACGCCTACGGTCCGATACGACGCCGCCATGGGTCATCGAGGTGGCTCAGCGCTGCATGGCGTTCGAACCGTCCGAGCGCCCGACAACACTGGAGCTCTGTACCCTTTTAGAGCAGTACCTGCAATAGAGATTCCCCATTGATTATAGTTTATGGGTGTACGCATTGTCATCCTGTGTTGGTCAATAATACCTTTAATGTCCGATTAAACCTAACCCCGCATATGCCCAGGCTGGCGATCGTGGCCTTGGTGCGCCATGGCACGAGTGGCATTGAGAAATATTAGCTATAAAAGAAGAGAGGCTTTTGGCGAGACTACCACCAGAACGCAAGCACACAGTCCAGAGCCAGCGGGGCTTCAGTAGCGTCGTAGCCGCGGCGGCAGCACTTGAAGAAGCTCGGCTTCGCGCTTCTCGGCGACCGCCGACATGGGCAGTGGTTTTAACACCATATTGTACTCATCTGCGATCGTCTCGATGCGCGCGACGAGCTCGTCGGCGGTCGGGCGACAGGAAGGGTCCATGCGCAGGCAGTCGCGCGCCAGGGACAGAATCTCGGGCGGGCACAAGTTGGAGAAAGCAGGTGTCATGTGCTCTTCCGCGAGTGCGTGCGCCATCTTGAGCGTCAACATCGTCGCGTCATTCTCGTCTTCCTCGTCCTCATCATCATCACCGCAGTTGCGGAGTAACGACGCCATGTGCCGGTCCATGGTTGCCAGCAGCGCACCAAACGACCAGACATCGCTTTCGGGCACGTTGCAGTTCTAACAAAGTAAAATCATTGAAAAATACTTCAAAAAAGATACAAGGGCGCACCTCGAGGGCGATTTCAGGCGCAGCGTACGTGGCATTGGTTGCGACCTCGTCGACGTCTTCCGTGGCGTGGAGGCACTGGCCAAACTGGCAGAGCTTGGCGTGGTCGGCCCGCAAAAGAACGTTGCACGGATCCAAGTCGTGGTGGACAAACCCAAGGCGATGCAGATACGCGAGCCCTAATCCCTGCAGCGTCAAGACGCGCTTCCAAATGAATGGATTCATGCGTACCGAGCGCAATGTCGTAGAGCCATTGCAGTTTGGTGGGAAACCACGGCAGCGACGGGTGCGCCGCCAAGTAGTCCTCGAGGTTGCCGTCCTCCATAAACTCGAGCACGCAGCAGAGGTCGTTGCGCGCAGCGTCCATGGCCTCGCCTCGCCACGTCGCACCATGACACGTTACAATGCTCGGGTGCGCAAGCCTACAAGTTGCTTGTCAGCGATTTTGAAATGGAAAAAAGCCATCGTACCCCGACAGAAGGTGCGTCTCGCGCACCAAGTGCTCGCGGCTCGTGACGTTGGTGAAGCTGCGCTTAAGCGCGACCGGATTGTCGCGCAGCTCGCCCTTGCTCACGATAGCGTACGCGTTGCGGCCAATGTAGTCGCGTCCAACGTGGATCGGCGGCAGGTCGCGCAGGTTGCGGATAAAGCGCCGAAAGGTGCTGAGCTCAAACGCCGAGAGCTCCATGCGAAGGGCGAACGAAGCGTAAATGAGCGCCGATACAAACGCACGTGCGAAAGACACGCTTTCGTGTCAAGGATTCCGCTCGCCAGCCGGCGTGGAAAGTGCAACGTGGGTAAAATCGGCACCTTCAATTCGGCATTTGCATCCACAACCTGCGAGTGCATCGATCTGTGATTGATCAAGGAGGCGCCGCCACGTACAACAATAGAATGCGTTGAAGACCAGCCAAGATTTCGCACCAAAAGGTCAGACTTTGGAGCGCTCGGACGGCCCGAACGGGCAACGCGAGTGGCTCCTACGAGAGACAAGCGGTGCTTCTTTGTCCGTCGCACAAGAAGAAAGCAAGATTTCCTAAGGCTTTTCATCCCGCGGTCGCATGTCCCTCCCGACTTCAAGCTCGTGCACACGCCATCATGCATGGCAGAATGATCACAATCGTCCATAAAACACGGGCTACAGAACACCAAGGGTACCCTTGAGAACACGGACTTCACCTGTATCCTTTATTTTGTGCCTGGTACAGTGGTGTGGTATAATAGCACTTGAAATCCAAGTGGGAGTGTCCATGTCTACCACGCCTGGGTGCTTCAAATGCCGAATTTAATTTTGAGCTAAATTCGGCATATTCGGACCGTAGACAAACCTGAGCCTCCGTGGTACGACGCCAGTCCCGTCGACGGCATTGCCCTGGACTATGTCATTCGCTGTCACAGCCAGTCAGTCGTCATGGAAAGTTTGGCAGTAGCAACTGCGGTCACCTCTCTAGAGCGACCGAGCAACGCAAGGACGCGTTGGGTGCACCATCCTCCGTGGATCTCATGGAGCTCTTTGAAGAAGCCCTTGCAGAGATGGGACAACCGCCGGTCGTGGGAGTACTGTACCAGGTAGTGTTCAATTCTCTCGTGTCTGGCATCCAACTGAATACCTCGCCTCGTTTCATATTATTTTGGACTCATCGCAGTCTGTTGTTTGGTTGAAATTCATCGCTTAATCATGGCTGCTCGACGCGCTTGCGTTTGATCTCGGGTATCTTGGGGCAGTGCGACCGGTACGAGTGGAGCTGCTGGGTCCAGTTGGTCTCTGGTTCCCCAAGCTCCACGTCTTCCATGACAGTCGAGCTGTCCTTTTCCGGTGGTGGCGTCAAGAGTCCCTTGGATGCCATCGCTGCCAAGAGCTACAACACCATCCACACATGCTACACAGACAGGCAAAGGCCTACGCTGTCTTCTTTGGCGCGTAGAGCGGCGCCATCCACTTGCGTGTCGATCGTGAAGCGCGTGACCTCGGCGCTCTTGTCGTAGAACGTGTGCATGACCTGGCGCACCTACGCTCGCCAAAGACATAGCATTGCTATTGGATCTGATATCCGCACCATTTCAAGCTCGCCATCGAGCATCGTATCACGCTGTGCTTCGTACTTGGCGAAAATCCGAAACAAATGCAAGGTGGCAGCGTCCAGCGCGGTGCGGGCCGTCGCGACATTGGCATCGGCTCTCGAGAGCTCGGGTACACTGCGTTTGGCGCGGCGCATGGCGTGTGCACTCCGTTCAAAGCTGTCGTAGTCGAGCTTGAGCGCTTCGCGGTGCTGCATCGCAGGCTACAATAAAAGAGTCGTCGCGCCCTGTACTCGGATACTACCATGTACCTTGAACGACTCCATGGTGCGAATGTGAATGTCCACAAACTGAATCGCACCCGAGAGCACCGCGTCCTAGTACGCTTGTAGTGAGTTTTGCCAACAAGGAAGAATATTTCGACACACGAAATGCATGTACCGCATTGAAAAAGTGAGATTTGATCTCCTGCTTTTCGTTGATGGCACACATGGCGTGGCGAAAGGTCTCGGCCGCGACGCTTTGCCGCCCGACCGCCTCGGCGCTCGTGACACACCAGACGTCGACGCCCAGCTGCGCGCACGCGAGCGAGTACTGCGGCAGCACGGCCTTGTAGCGCGACAAGCTCCCGCGAATGTCCAGAATGCTCTTGAGCAACCCGAGGAAGCGATCTTTGGCTTTGATGTACACGTCGTCGGGTGTGGGCGTGGCCTACGCGATGCCTTAGCCACTCGAGCACTACTGTAGAACCATGAAAGGTATACCCGCCCGAACGAGACGAGCGTCTTTTGGAGCCATCGGCGCTGCCGATCGCGCAAGGACGGCGCCGCCACCGGATGACCAGCGCCTGACAAGTGAACCGTAAACATCTTCTCTGCCATCGCGGGACGAGCACGCTCGATGGTTGCTGCGTTGGCAATGGCAACGCCCGGTAGCTCGTGCGGGCTTCGAGGAGCGCGGACTGTTGTGCTTTGATCGGCAGTATCGATCTCAGGCGACGCGATGCATGGATCATCCATGCTTGCTGATGCGCTCGGGAGCGGCGGCTGCATTGGCTTGTCTTGGCCACGCAAGCTGGGCTCGCTGCGACCGCCGTCGGCGGACTGGGCGGCGGGGGTACATAGGCGTCGGCGGCTACCGACGGCGACGGCAGCAGAGACGGATCTGCGCCCTCGGCGCGCATCTTGAGCTCGACGTGCTCGCGGGGCATCCCCATCTTGAGGAGGCGGAGGTACTTGTCCATGGCAACAGCGCTGGCCGATTGCCACACTCGGCCTGTTGGCATCTAAAAATAGACACATCCGCATACGGTTTTCATATCCGGACATTCCAAAATGCGGCCACTGTGTTGACAATAGTGTAGTCACTGGTAAGATAATCTATAGCACATTAGTTTGGGATAATCCAACAATGACAGATTCCCATTGATCACGAGTTTGACGTCGTCTACACGATTACGACAACAAATGACCTAACGTCCGCCAAAGCGGCGTCCATCCGGTGGCTTGTATCAATATTGACACGGTGCACATGGTGGCTGTCCACAGCGGGGCGGACGAAGGCGTATCGCATCACACTACAAAGGGCCCGTTGACATCGCACTCTGTCTACGCCCGAATCTCATGCTCCATGCCGGAGCCCCATTCTGGGACCCCGTCAACGTTCTGGTGGATTGCGATATGGCCCGGACGAGCCGGATACTGAGATATGGAACACGTGGCAGTGCCTCGCACTTGGCAATTGTTGAGCTCGAACGAAAGGAATCTCTCCACTGTCTTTTGGACGATAGAGTGAATTGATCCAATCCGGTGGACGAGATCTTGCTGAACCCTCGGATCGCGGAGCCGCAACTCTGTGGGCCAGCTTGGTCTCGCGTTTGTTTGAATGACGTCTGGTCAGCGGGAGAAACTCCTTTGATCCACGTCTCGTTTTGACGTTTCAAAGGAGTCGCTCGGCCGTTCCGCTGCGGAACAACCGATTTAAAAAATAAAATGGTCAATGTTGACACATTTTAATACATGTGGGGCAAACCCTATTTCCCATTTTCCCACTTTACATGGAAAAACCCAACGATCACGCAAGATTGCGTGAGCGTAACGGCCCGCGCTCGGTGCGCTGTGTAGCCATCGCACACGAGACGATGCCACGGCGCTACGTGATGCCGACCACGTGGGCCTCGACGCACCCGTGTGCATGAAGACTGCTTGTTGACATTTCACAAAGGATCGCCATGGCCCCATCGATCGAGCGTGCGGTAAAACCCATATCATTCTGGTGTTTTACACTGGGACCAACCTACCTTGATCCCATTTCCGATCGCGGCAAATGGATTAAAAATGGTCAAAATTAAATCCCGCGTCGTGGCCAAATCTGTCGGACCCAACAAGTTGTCATAGCGAGTGGCGTCGATGGCTCTGCGGACGCTGCCCGAGCGCCTCTTCTGCACCTTCCAGGCGTGCGCGATCTGCGGCCTCCTCTTCGCGAGCAGCTACCAGCGGTACGAGCCTCCTCCTCTTCGCCTTCTCGCCTCACAGCGTGCCACGCGATCGCAGCCACAACAAACCCGACGGCCAAAAGGTACCCTGCGCCAATGCACCGTTGCCTCACAGCGCAGTAGGTCATCAAGTACGACCTCCAACCACCAGTAGTAGTCTCGATGGCAGCGGCTCACCGCGCGATGCAGGTGCTTTCCGCATTGCTGCCCGCAGCACACGACCCGACGATCGTGCGGCACGTCGCTCGTCGTGCAGGTGGGCGGCGAGTACAACGCCGAAGAAGCGGCGACGTTTGAAGCCTTTGGACGCTTTGAGAGCTCGTCGACGACCGAGCTCGCGATCGGGTGCCCGCTCGAGGTGGTCGACGGCGACCTCCGGCAACCCGGCAACATGCGGGGCATGTGGATGCGGTGCCATCGCGACGCTCGCGCGTCCATCGTACGCAGCAAGCACCCCATCTGTGTCAAGAGATCCTTTCTTTTCGTAGCCGGTCACGTTTTTCGTCAACCGCAATGCGCTCGAGGACGAGTGGCATTATGGATGGAAGGGCAGCGCGAGCAAGGTCGATCGCGCCGCAACGCACGTGCTTACGGTACAGTCTACACGAGAGATGACAATATGATCTCTATTGGAGTATTAGGTATACATCCGTCGCGCGACCGACAACGTAGTCGTGGGCCTCGCACGCAGCTCGCCGTTCACCATCTCGTCTGCGCGCCGCGCGGTCGAAAGCCGCACCAGTGCGTCTCGTTTGTCGTTTAGAAGGTATGTTTATGCTACCTTGCGCTGCTGCGTAGCACGGCTCAAGGCCATGGCGACCGAGACAGACGAGCCGGTGCGACTGCTGCCGACGACCGGCGTGTCGGCGTTCGAGTTCCAGGGGTGTGACTGTCCTGGCGATCTCTTTCGCACGGTGTACTCGCGGTGGGTGCAACCCTACCCCTGATTCCCTTCCCTACACTTTTTCTTAGCGGCAACAAGACCAACGGCCGCAAGGTACGACTTATTCTTCGTTGGATTTGAATCGACGAGTTGTTGTAGGAGCTCCGGTACGCAACGTGGACGATGATCGCAAGACGATGTGGATATCGATGCTGGTGTAGCTGCTTTCCGCACTGCTGTGGTGGCCACGCGACGCAATCCATGTGCGGTGGGCCGATTCATATCCACGTGGCCTTTTTGAACGCGGCGCCCGTGCACCAGTACGCGGTGTACGCTCGGTTTGAAGAGCTGCCGATGAAGGAACTCGAAGTGGCGATGGAGATGCCACTCCGGTACCTCGAGGCCAACACGATTCGACCGAATGCGATGCAGTCCGAGTGGTTTCTCGGGGTCCCCGCGGGCGCACCCCTGCTATTTCCGGTACGTTTCTTTCCTCCCTGGCGTACTACTTGATTCATGGACACTATATTTCTGCTGGTGTAGTCGAGCGAGGTGTATGTTCTCAACGCCAACAAGCGATCCAAGCACTTTTGGCCGTACAGCTGGAAGGGCAGTGCGAGCTTGACCAAGCGCGCGACGCGCCACGTGCTCCGCGTGTACCTCTTCCAGTTGCACCACGCCGAGGCCCGCGACGGCGTCGACGTCCTCGCGCGCATTATAGGCACGCTCCAGTCGCCGGCGTTTCAAGTCGAGTCGCAACGCAGCTCGGCGCTCGAGCACCGGACCACCGTGCTGCTCAAGGTACCCCGGAAGCGCGTCCTCGAGAGCCCGCAAAGCAACACACCCAACGACGACGACGATGAGAACGAACTCGACGAGATCGACACCGCCTAAGTCGTCTAATCGCAGCCCGTGCGCCTTGTACATCAACAACACAACAGGACATATTGCTGGTGGTGGCGAGGCATGGGCGGTCGACGTCTGCTCTGCATGGGTTGTCTCGACTGCCAACAATCCATTTGAATTTCGACCGGCAGTAGCGCAGTGTGTCAAAACCACGCGTGTGTAGAGGCTCCTGAAACGCTGCTTCAACGTCCATGTACTGTACGGTACCAGCCAAAGTATGCACCTTGCACGAGTGCTCGGAGACGACAAAAGGTATTCCAAGGTACACATATGTCTATCTTTTTAAGCAGGCAACTTGGCGCGAAGGTTTCTGTCATGCCAGTATAAGAGCTCTCGATGGTCACTCGGTGCGACATGAAGATCGGGTTGCAACTACAATTTTCAACATGTCGAATGCTGCCTTGCAGAACCCAGCGCCGGAGGATCTGACGCGTGCGGCGATGTACGTAGCGCCCTTTTTAGATGTGACGATTCGAGTACGTGCCATGGACTGGACGAAGTGGTCTCGCGGCGCGCCACTGGAAGTGGTCGTGGGAACATCGGAGCTCTCTTGCCACATGAGTTCTCACACACGAATAGGTCTCTGCTGTTGAGGCTCTACCATTTCTGCAAGTTGGTAAGGAATGCATGGACCGCTAACATACGGTAGGAAATCAGAATGCCACCATGCGTTGCTCAAGCGAGGTAGGTGAACCCTACCCCTCGAGTCCGAAGAGCTGTGTTCGAAAAGGAACGTGGCACAGAACGTGATTATGTCGCTGGAAGATCCACAGCAACTACAATAACGGCACTAACTCTAGTACACCGAATTTGTCTACCTAGTGGTGCTTCGCGCGGTCAAGCATCGCGCCCATTTGCACGGGCTCGACAGAGCCGACCACGCGTGCCTCTTCTGCCCCGCGCACGAGACGTGTCATCACTTCCTCGTAGACTGCGACTTCATCAAGGACGTGTGGACCACGCTTCACGCGGTCACCGACCCCTAAGGCGTGGTCTTGCCGTCGACGCTCAGGCTACCTCGTCTCGATGGCCAAGACGGTCTCTAACATGCACTAAGCCGCGTTCCGCTACCTCCGACCCGTGCTCCACGCCTGCGTCTGGTCCAAGGTTTGGTGAGTCCGGAACGATCGCGGCTTTCGCGCAGACCTATCATTGCCAAGTCCATGGACGATTGCTGTCAAGGCGGCGCGTGTCGCTCAACTGCACTCGCCCCGTTTAAGAGACCGAGCAGCCCGATCTCCTTTGGCTTCTCTGGCTTCACGCGCAGCGCGAGTGGCTGCACCGGCATCTAGTCCGCGAGTCGCGCTCCAGGCTTTGTCGGCCTACCATCCCTCAACCTAGTGTACACAGCGGGGAAGTCCGAGATGGTTATCTAGTTAATCCAGTTCAAGGTTATCTACTATTTCAATAGACGACCCATTTCAACAACAACGACAACGACAACAACAACAAAACTGGACGACGGTACGACCGCCTGAAAAGATCTGAGCTCTACTTCCTTCAGGTGATGCATCATTTTCTTTCGTAGTAGCCCGTCACATGGCCACGCGAGATATCGAGATCACAAGAAAACATTATGGTACTTGCATGCAATTGATCGTCCTGCTAGATCGCTACAGTCGACCATTCAAGAAGGGCTACTAGCCTGTAGCATCATGCACTCGAGTGTACAAAGGCAGGCGAGACACCAACCAAACCAAAAAGTGGCCTCGCACCACGCAGCTCGAACGGCGCTTTTCAGCGAAATCGACAGCGAAAACAAGTCGTTTATCGTCGTTGGAGCTGCGAATGCACCGATTCGTTGCGAGTTCAAACCCGCCACGCCGCCGTGGTCCCATAAATGTACAAAATTACCGCTCGTCGACACGGGGCGTCGTCAGCATTGCTGCTGACTGGATTCGTCCATTGCATTGTATTATTATTGCATTTGGGTTTTTGGGACAAACCTCCGATCACACGGCGCATCGTGCACAAAAGTGGGTTTTACATCGTGTAAATCCCATACAAAGCCACCGATGGTTCCAACAACTTGTCCTTTGAACTGCAGTCAGTAAAACAGCTCGCGGGCGTCCCTACAAGCAGCATGGCCGATGACGTCGTCGCTTGCAGCTACCGCCTCTGCGCGGTGTGCGGCCAGCTCTTCCACGACAGCTACATCCGGTACGATCCCAACCTGATGAGTTTGCACTTGCTACAACGCCTGCAGGTCCAACAAGCCCGACGGCTCCAAAGTACTACACACCGCCGAGATGAGCGACGCCCCATATGTACCTTCTCGTGTCTGCGTAGGTCCTCAAGTACGCAACCATCTTGACGGCGGTCGACCGACTGGATGCTCTAGGTGCTTTCCGCACTGTTGCCCCGAGCACTCGCGCCGCCGGTCGTGCGGCACACACCTCGAGCTCCTCGTGCACAGCGACAGCGCCGACATCTGCGTCTTTGCGCGGTTCGAGGCCTCGCTGTTCACGGCCACGCTCGCCCTCGGCGACTCCGTCCCGTTCCTCGCCGGCAACGTTCGCACCAAGGAGCACACGCGCGGCGAGTGGATTGCCTGCCATCGCGACGCGAGCGAAACGCCGACGATGGTGCGTCGACCATAATCGATGACGATAGATGATGTGATGATATGCGCAGCCCGTGGTCTGCATTATCAACCGTAATGCACTCGAGGCCGAGTGGGCGTACGGGTGGACGGGCAGCGCGCGCGTTGTCGACCGCCAGTCCACCCACCATCTTGTGGTTTGTTGTCTTCATCCACTACAATACTATCGAAGCGATTGTGTAGACCTATGTGTTTCGGTGCAGCCTCGAGACACCGCGCCTTGTTGTCATCGGCGTCGCTCGATCGCCGCCGTTTACCATCACGTCGGCTCGCCGCGCGTCGGCCGCAGCCAGTACGCACGCTGCTCGTCATCGGCGAGGACGACACCAAGGAGCGCGCGTAGGTGTCGCGTGGGACGACCTCGAAGCGTCGAATGCCCTCTCGCCTTCGTCGGGACTAACGGCATTTGACTTTGCGCCGTGCAGCTGCGGCACCCACGACCTCTTTTCGGCGACGTACTACCGGTAGCCACCTTTGAGAGCTGTCGCTTGCAGCATGAGCTTACAATGGATGCATAGATCCAATACTGCAGGGCGGGCCAAGGTGAGACACAATCCTGGACCCTACCCTATTACCCGGGACTTGACACGACCGGATCGTAGGAGCTGCGGTACGCTCGACGCGTGCAGGTATTTGAGAAGGGTATTTATCGAGCGTAGATGCTTCCCGCACTGCTGTCCGTCGCACGCACCACACTCCATGTGTGGTGGCACCCTTCGACTCTGCGCCACTTTTAATTCCGGCGCGCCCGTCCACCGGTACCGTGTGTTTGGCCGATTTGAGATGCTTTTGGCGCCGCCTCTTGACCTCGCCTTGGAGCTACGACGCGATGCCTTGGACGCGGACTGGCTCGAGGCCGAGCTGGAGCCATCGCCCGTCTGCTTTGCCGTACAGTGCCTTCTACGTCGATCCATTTTCAGTGCGCTCATACACGTAGACAAAGGCCCTCTTTGTCTTCAACCAAGCCGCAGAGACGAGAACGCGCAAGATGCACCGCTGGCCGTATGGCTGGAAAGGCTCCGCGAGCCTCAGCGCGCGCGCCACGCGCCACGTCTTTCGGGCCTACGCCGTTGCTCTGCATCAGGCGGAATCCAGCGTCGGTGTCGATGTGATCGCTGTCATCGTCGGTATGGCACAGTCGCGTTCGTTCCAGATCGAATCCCATCGCAGCAAGAAGGCAGCGACGTACTAGTTTTTATTCTCGATGGAGCAACGCGAGAGAGAGATATCGAACGAGACGCTCGTCTGCTGTGTATAAGCATCATCCACGTCTCTTTTTTCCAGTTGACAGACGACTTTCCGTGTGGCTGTTGACGACGGCGTGCCTCCTTCTACCACTAGACTGTCCAAGCGTTCGAGACGCCGCGTGTGTGCCACGTTTCCAACGATCATTGGCGCATTATCAAGACCCATCGCAATTGGATTCGTGGGACCCGCATCCTTTTTGACCAATCCAGCGTCTTTTTTCGAGCATATCAAGCAAATCGAGCGCTCTTGATTATGTAACGGCTCGAATAGACAAGCAGATCACGCAATCCCGTGCCACCCATCGCGTCGTGATGTCGTGCCCTTGCTGTCGTCTGTACGTAAGCTGTCGAAGCCGCTAGGCGGGCGTAGCTCGGGCATCTTGGGCGCCATTGCGCCTGCACCTTGGGCTGCGAGCTTGGGCTGCGAGGACGGCGCTCCATACTGTAGAGCTACAGTGTTCGAGGTGGCTGGACTGGGATCTCGTCCGTCCGTTCTGGCACCGACCACATCAACGACCTTGCTAGAACTCTGCTCGCCAAGCCGCTCACAGGATGGCGTCATGAGGTCAGCGTTGGCGGTGGCAGCTGGTGGCGGCGACAATCGCGCTAATGTGGTATAGCTGCAGCGCAACAAAGAACACGGTGTGCATCGACCGGGACGCAGGAGGGTACAAGAAACCGAGCTTAGAGACACGTAAGAATGCTGGACACGAGCAGCCTAGCACGTAGGGCCTTGCTGTTCGTTGAAGCGGAAGCGCTTGGCGCGCGCGTCGTCGTCGTCGAGGGGCATGGGCGGCAGCTTTGGGTTGTTCTTGGAGCCGGCGCCGACGCTCTGGTAGTTGTTGCAGCGGTAGCTGATCAAGTGGAAGCTCGGCGACTGCACGAGCGCAATGACCTTGAGGTCGATCGGCATCTCGACGCTTTCTTCGCGGAGCCGCTTCTCGAAGAGGTACACGACGAAGAGGTGGCGCAGCTTGCGCTTCTCCTTGGCCGCCGACCCGTGCCAGTTGTACGGCCAGTAGTGCTTGGCCGCGTCGTTGAACGTAAACTCGACAAAGTTCTAGAGACGGCATCCTCATAACATCCAGCGCCGGCCACGAGAGAGCGTACCGGGTAGCACACGCGCGACGGGGACCGCGCCCCGAGGAACCAGTCGCCGAGCGAGTTGTGCGTCCTGGGCACGCCGTCTTCGAGCGCCTGCATCGAGACGATGTGGCCGAGCTCAAACGTCTGCTCGCCCACGACTTCAAACCGACCATAGGCCGCAAAATAGTGCACGGGCAGCTGGTTGCGCATCGAGAGGTCGCAGTGGACGACGATCTTGCCGCCGCAGCTACTGTGGAGCGTGTGGCGCGGGCAGCAGTGCGGGAAGCAGCGCAGCTCCTACGCCACTGCGTTAAACAGCTCGAACGAGTGCGAGCGGTGTGTACCTTGCGCCCGTTGGTTTTGTTGCAGCTACAATCGAAAAAGACGCACCGTGAGCCCTCGCTGGAACGAATGTCTGCAGTAGAGAGTCTTACCGAATGTACTTGTCCTTGAACATGGGCTCCACCTTGCACTCGCAAGCGACAATGTGGCAGTTCTCAATGCCGCCCGACGAGAGCACTCGCATCTCGGGCTGCGCGACGGCTTCCGGCGCTACGAGGCTCCTTAGCAGACGCGAAAGCAGCGCCTTGTACCTTCGGTCACCTCGGGCTGGATGGACCGGCGAAACGAGGCGAGTGTGAACGGCGTCGAGATGGCACAGCCGACCACGACCAAGTAGCGCTGCGAGATGGAGTCTTGGACGTTTTGGAAAATGTACGACTAGCGAGAGGAGTAGGGAGATGAGGATGTCGTCGTCGGACGAGAGAGAGGCGTTCGCACCTTGAGGACATGCGACGTCTGGCGCAGGATCTTGCTCGCGCTGCCCTTCCAGTTGTAGTGCCACTCGTCCTGGAGCGCATTGCGGTTGACGACGTAAATCATGGGCTACACCATGTATCGAGGCGTGAGAAGAAGCTTGGCGAAGGTCGGGGATTACATTTTGGGCCTTGAGGTCCGGGTGGTTCTGGATCCACTCGCCGAGCAAGTTGCCTTGGCGGCGCAAGCCTTGCTGGATCGTCGCGTGCTCGATGCGGTCGCCGGGCACGAGGCCCGTGTCGGTCGAGCACTCGAAGCGCGAGTACGACTCGAGCGACGACTGCTCGCCGGTCGTCATCTCGCCATGGACGTGTACGACGAGGTGCGTGCCGCAGCTTCGGCGGTTCGTGTGCTGCGGGCAGCAGTGCGGGAAGCATCGCAGCACCTACCGCGGAGCATGAGGCGCGATCGTCGGCGACGTCTCGTGGCCGTACCTTTTGGCCGTCGGGCTTGTTGTTCCTACGACGACGACGACGCTGCATGAGAGGTAGCGAGGAGGCGACGACGTACCGCCAGTAGCTCGGGCCGAAGAGCTGGCCGCAGATGGCGCAGGACTGGAACTCGCAGCGGAGGCGGTCGGGCAGCGCGGCCATCGCTCTTGGTGGTCTCCGGAAAAAGGGGAATATGGAGCCTTCGACAACTTTTACTGCGTTGGACGAAACAGCCGCGCAGGAATTGGAAGCATGAATTTGTATGGTGTGACAAGTGCTCCACGTGGGTCCGGCGGCCAGTGATTGGTGGACCACGCAGGACACTACCTTCCAAACTTTATCGTCCGGATACGGAAAATGACTGGCGTTTTCGCCTTCGCCAACAGATCGCACTGACGGCCGCGAAGGGGCGCTGTCACCCGACACGTCAACGCCTCCAGGGAGAGCCGACGACGATGGGACGCGCGGGCCGAGGCGTCGCTATGCGCATCGACGCCCGTGCGCCATGGCCGTCGCTGCAGATGGTACAGGACCTGGGTGCTGTGCGGCCAGACGCTGCAAGCTTGCCAAAATTGGACAGGCGGTATAACTTTGTAGAGGTCGGCGACCATCGAATCTGGGAGTGGGGCGCACGTGGCGTGGGAGATGTGGCCGCAGCGGTTCGGACCAGAAATCCCCCACCAATCAAACGTTGGGTGTATGCATCAACGATTCACCATTGGCCAAAATTAATCAACGTCATTTGCCGCCGCAATATCATCCAATCGTATGGCACAACTTCGAGCGACTTCGATGAACGACCCACTGTCACACACCTTTTACCAATAACATACTCAACACTATAAACGACATACAACATAATGGTGTTAATACACTATATACAGAATCTATTCACACTATATTGAAATTTTCTACACACTATAAACTGATCTCTCGTCTTATAGCGTGAGACTTCAACCGGAGTCAGTTATCCGGCTTGCGCAAAGGTGGTGCTGCAGTGCACGCCTTCCATAAAACGAGGTCCAAAACCTTCTTATACAAAACTCTATATAGGTGTATTTCAAAGAAATGAGCCTGTAAATCGACGTTTTAGTCCAAGGCGAATAGCATACTCGGATTTTAAGAATGCGTAAAATTGACGAAATGCATGGAGGTAAAAGAAAACCGCTTCAAACAGACGATGCAAAGGGCAGAGGGCCACTTTGCTACAGGGAACAGCCATCTTTCTATTACATTGGAAATAATATTTCTTCGTTTTTGTGATGTAATAATATCATTATATCATTCAGATATATTATTGTACAATCTCCTTTTTATATACTACTCCGTCCCATATTACTTTGCGTTTTCAACTTTGAGTGACCGTGAAAATCGAATTTTGCGAGTTAGGACTCATTCAAACCTGCGTTCGAAAGCGCTTGATTTCCTCTATCAATAGATATGGCTGGAGTATAAATTGTGGCGCTCTAAGGCATGCATCTTGAGCGTCAAAAACGGTCACTCGATTGATTTTGAAAATCATTTACCGGGCTTGGTGTTTGTAGCAGGAATTGGACAAAATAAATGTACTTTTATTCCTCTTGTCCGGATAACATACAAACACTATATCATGTCTTCAAAAATCAAAAATATATATATTATTACTGTGACTTTCTACCAATCACGGCCGCGTATTTTTTGAAAGCAAATCACGTACGACCTCTCCTAGCAGGGCCATGGGGCCAAAACGGAAAGTAATATGGGACGGAGTAGTACTACATTAAAGTATAAACAAGTATTTGGAGAACTATGAAATTATAAAGCACCTAAAAGAACTAGAACACATCCGAATATGCAAGACGAGCTGGCGCGTTCTGGCTTGCTCGCATCGATTTGTTGTTGCACGCCCATGATTTACATTGAATAAACACAAAAGAAGGCAAAACACTGACAAATGGATGCGCAAAAATCACGAAAGAATTCCCACAGATCGCCAATGAGCCGTCACGATTTTACGGCCAGGAATCAAATTTATGGGTCAAGGAATCACGCGTGCATTCATAAATCACGAATAAAACAAACAAATCGCAAAATACTAAACGACGACGAATTGGGGCCTGTATACCCGCGATTACGTGCCGTTTTGCATCTGCAAACCTCGAGGCGTCTCCGTGTCGAGCCAGCTATTTGTTTGCATTTGATTTGCCATTTTATGTATTTATCGCCTTTTTTACGCGTCGTAGGAGCGCTCTACGAGCCACAAACAACTCTTGGTATAGTTTGTTTCGTG